TTTTTTTTTTTTTTTTTTCTTCCCTGAAGCCAGAATTTTATATGTTACGGAATTTAGTTATTAGTGTAAATTACGCAAAGGTTCAAAAGGTTCTGCCATTTGGTGTTCATGTTTTCAAGTGTCAACTTGTATGAAGAGCTGTTAATCAAAACAAGTTGCTCTCGGCTCGTAAAGGCTTGAGTTAGTTAGGTTCGAGAATTTTTATAACAAGCTGAGCTCGGGTTCAATGTGCAATCTCGAACTCCATGCCCGGCTTGTTCAGTTTATGAGCTGAGCTATCAGGAGTTCGGGCTTGGCTAGGCTTGGCTCGTTTACATCCCTTTATCTGTGATCCAATTAGCTATATGCTTTTCCTAGTTGCATGACCTATTATAACTGATGCTGTCCTTCCAATGATTTTGGGTGCAGTTATTCATCTTGTTCATGTGTCAGTATTTGAATGAAATGGCTAGCTGAAAACTATTATTTACCGCTCTTATAAAACATTTTTTATTCCTATTCCCTTTTTGCTGGTAGCCTGGTAAACATTTCTAATCAATTAGCACTAATCGTTATCTTTCTTAATCTGATGGAAAATACAGAATGGACCTGATGAGAGAAGCATCCCAGGGAACACCGTTGCTGTTCATGCAGATATGCCTTTCAGTGGTCTCACTACTTTTGGAAGTGCATTCCTGTCCAAATTTGAGTGTTCACAAATGCCGCATCCTGTGAGGACATACTTCATCTTAACAAATGTTTCCTAGAAGGAAATAAAATATTTTTGCAGGCTCATCTGCTGAGTTCTTCCTTTTTTTTTTTTTTTTTTTTTTTTTTNTTTTTTTTTTTTTTTTTTTTCTGAATGTCCAAGCTGCTGGAGCATATTACATTTGTTGACACTCCTGGAGTTTTATCTGGAGAAAAGCAGCGCACACAAAGAAGTTATGACTTCACCGGTGTCACATCTTGGTTTGCAGCGAAATGCGATCTCATCCTGCTTCTGTTTGATCCTCACAAACTTGATATAAGTGATGAATTTAAAAGAGTCATTGGATCTTTACGAGGCCATGATGATAAAATTCGTGTGGTTTTGAACAAGGCTGATCAAGTTGATACACAACAAGTATGCTATTGATGACTCTATTTTATTTTTATCTTATTTTCTTCTCCTTCAATTGTCACCATGGGTACAGTTGGATGTGCTTTCGTTGAAATTTTTTCATTGAAATTTTTTTCATAACTAGAGAAAAATGCTTGGAAAAGTTTAGGAAGAAGAATAATTTGAAAAGTGATTTGATTTGAAAAGTGATTTGATATAATAAGATCAAAATGAAATGATTGGAGTGGGTAATTTGCGCCAAACCCCCCTGTATTATACGAAATCTGCGTCTTATCCCCCTGTATTTTAAAAAATGCGTCATACCCCCTTGTATTATACTTTTGATTGCGCGTTATCCCCTAAAAATGCGTCATACCCCCTTGTATTATACGAGGAGAGGGGAGCGTGCGCAATCAAAAGTATAATACAAGGGGATATGACGCATTTTTTAAAATACAGGGGGATAAGGCGCAGATTTCGTATAATACAGGGGGGTTTGACGCAATTTACCCGGAGTTAGTTAATGTGATATAATAATAAAGTATTGTGTGGTAGTATTGTGTGGTAGTTAGAAATTTTATTTAGAAATGTGTAGTAACGAGTGACTTTATCGTAACATTTGTATTGATAAAATTGAGGATACGTGAGATAAGGGAATAGGTACTTTTTTAAGGCAAAATCGCTAGGGAATTTTAAGAGTTAAGAATTTAATATCCAACTGCCACCTATATCATCCCTTCTGATTGGATTTTACTGGTTTCCTTCTCATTGCAGCTTATGCGGGTTTATGGAGCATTGATGTGGTCCCTTGGGAAAGTGCTAAATACTCCTGAAGTTAACCGTGTATATATTGGGTAGGCTCTATTCACCTGTTTTTTGGTTACAATCATTATTCCACATCTCTAACTTCATTAGAAGCTAGGGCTGTGAAGTATATGGTGTGCATTGAGATAATCGATGTCCATTGTCCAGAAAATGTAGGCGTTGTGTAGTAAGTCATCAATGTGAACTTGAAAACTAGGTTTGTTAAAGATATATTTCTAATCTAATACACTATTCTCTTTACATATTCTTTTTTCGTTATTAACTATCGTTAGGATCTTTTTGGTGTATATTGTCCACTAGCCTAGTATATCTAGCTTTCTCCAAGGTGGTCATTTCAATAAACAAATTAAAACAGAAAAAGGAAATTTGAAACTTTCGTCAGCTGGTGCCTCTCTGATGCATTTGACTTGCTAATTGAGCCCTTTGCTTATTTTCAAGCTGGGTATTGTTCCTGTTGACAAGTTACATTGAACAAATTCTCGGTTGACCATTGATATGCATGCATGATTCTTATCCATCCTACCTTTCCCACTGTTTTGAGCCATTTTTGTTTGCAACCACTTCATCACATCTTTTAGTTCTTTTTTAACAGCTCATTTAATGACAAGCCTATAAATGAGGCTGCTGCGGGTCCTATTGGCAGAGAGCTTTTTGAGAAAGAACAGGATGACCTTCTCTCTGATCTGAAAGACATACCGAAGAAGGCCTGTGATCGTCGTGTGAGTTGATGTGATGTACGTTTAGAAGATTTGATGGTTTTTTTGGGGAGGATTTCTTATGTTTTTGTGTCGTGCAGATAAATGAGTTTGTAAAACGTGCTAGGGCTGCTAAGATACATGCTTACATTATCAGTCATCTTAAAAAAGAGATGCCTGCAATGATGGGCAAAGCTAAGACACAGCAGAGACTCATTGATAACCTCCCCGAGGAATTTGCAAAGGTCTCTCTCTCTCTCTCTCTCTCTCTCTCTCTCTCTCTCTCTATGGGTGTGTCTGTGTGTGCGCTTAACCGACTATCGTTGGATTTTCAGGTTCAGAGGGAATATCATCTCCCGGCAGGGGATTTCCCAAACGCGGAGCACTTTAGGGAGGTTTTAAGTGGCTACAGCATAGATAAGTTCGAGAAGCTGAAACCTAAAATGATACAATCGGTTGATGACATGCTCGGCTATGACATCCCTGAACTCTTGAAGAATTTTCGCAATCCTTATGATTAGGATATATATATATATATGTCCGTATTCTTGATGGATCATTTTCTGTGATCTCGAAATATTATTATTTTTATTATTATTATTATTTTTTTTCAGTTGGAAGGGGCATGACTTTGTAGTGTCCTCATATCTTGGCAAGCTGCTTGTACCGAGTTAAAAGTTGAATAATTTTGTCTTGTAATTATTGGATTGGATAAATCTAATCAATAATCAGATATGTTCCTTAGTTGGGTACATACATCTATGGCAGAAACACAGAAGGCTAGAACCCCGATTCTGGGACTAACAAGACACACAAAAACAGAAACATAAAATACAACCTTCCCAACTTCTAGAGGGCCTCTGGCCGCTGCTATGAGTCCTAAGCATATTTGCCAGTCTCCAAATCAAAGGACAAAAAGGGATTAGAAGATCTCTAGCTCCCGAACCTGTAAGCTCCGATCAGTCGAACGACTATGCAAATTTGGCGGAGAGCCGAACCTCAAGCCCAGATCTGATCTCCCCAAAAGCCCTAGGCCGAAGACTCGAAGAGTCCTGAAGCCCAAAAGCATCCAGCCTCACCGGCGGTAGCCACAACACCGGACTCAACCCCGGCCGGAAAAGGGTTGGCAGAGAACCTCCGCCACCCATCTCCCAGACCAAGGCGAGTTGCAAGAGTGTTGTGGAAGGGCGACTCGACGCCGGCCTAGCCACGGCCGGAGGAGAGGAGCAACTGAATTCAGCATCTGCAAGAAGAA